TATGACTGTGGTAGATCACATCTTGGCCTCAACTCCACTTTCCTGCCCCCATTCCCTTTAACCCATCACTGATTAAAAATCTGTCCCCTCCTTCAATTTATTCAGTGTCTCGGCATTCCCCACACACTATGGAGGGTGGGTGAATTTCTACAGTTTCACGCACCACCCCTTCCCCCACTTTGAGAGAAGACATTCCTCCTCATCTCTGTTTTCAATCTGCCCCAAACTAATTCCGGTGAAATCCATAGAATCTCAAACAGTGTGGAAACAAGCCATTCAGCCCATTGAGCCCATACCAACCCTTCAAAGAGTATCCCACCCAGACTGATCCCCATACCCTGCATTTCCTTTGGCTAACCCTCCTAACCTATACGTGCCTGAACACTACGGTAATTTAGCATGGCCAATCCACCCAACTTGCACATCTTTGGACTGTGGAAGGAAACCCAAGCACCTAGAGCAAACCCACAGGCACAGGGAGAACATGCAAACTCCACACACACAGCTGTCCGAGTGTGGAATTGAACTCAAGTCGCTCGTACTGTGAGGCAGCATTGCTAACTGCTGAGCCACCTTGACCTCTCGTTCTAGATTGCCCCACATGAGGAAACATCCTCTCTCCATTTCCTTCGTCAATCCCCCCCTTCACTATCTTATATCCCTCAATTAGCTCTCCTCAAATTCTCCTAAACTCCAGACAGCATCGGGCAATACTACTCAATCTCTCCTCATAAGACAAACTCCTCATCTCTGGAATCAATTTTGTGATTCTCCTCTGAACTGTCTCCAATGCAACTACATCCCTTCTCAAGTAAGAGGACCAAAACTCTACATAGTACTCTGGATGCAGAAACACTAATGCAGTTGCAGCAACACTTCCTTTCTCATATGTGCCATTCCTTTAGCAATTGCCAGTTGTCTTCCTTATTGCCTGCTATCCTGTGTGCCTGCTTTCTGAGATTCATGCACAAGGACACCCAGATCCCTCTGTACTGGATCACTCTGAAGTTTCTCTCCCACTTGAATAATAAGTTGCCTTTCTAGTCCTTTGACTACAATGGGCAACCACACACTTTTCCACGTCAAATGTTGGTATCTTCACCTAACCTATCCATTTCTATTTGTTATTTCTTCATTGCAGCTTAGTTTCCCAACTATTTCAGTGTTATCTTTTATCCCTTCACCCAAGTCATACATACACATTATAAATTGTTAGGGACAAAGACTTAACCCTGTGGTCCCCACTCATTATAACTTGCCAAACAGAAAAAAAAATCCATTTATCCTGACTGTCTGTTGTCTATTGGCTAGCCAATCCTTTATCCAAACTAATGTAGCACCCCAAATTTGATGTGGATGGGATTTTGTAAGTTGGTCACACAATTTGATTGAGTTAATTCCCATGAAATCTAGAGGGAAATGAACTTCAGGTGCCAAAAGGATAACGCTGATTGATTGGCATGAATAAGCAGTAACTGAGCAGTTAATTCTCGCTGATAACAGCACGGTGCTGGATCTGACATCAGTTGCTGGCTGTAATGCTTCTGGTTTTACCCCACCATGCAGGTTAAACTGACCCATGTTGGCTTGAAATGATGGCTAATATTGAACCCTCAACATCTCCCAATCCCTGATACACTCAATACCAATGTCAGGCTGACTGGTCTATAATTCCCAGTTTTGTTTCTACCTCCCTTTTTAAATAGTAAGGTTACATCAGCTACCCTGTAATGTGTAGGAACTGTTTCAGAGTCTGTAGGATCTTGCAACATGGTCACCAATGCATCCATTAATTTTAAGGCCAGTTACTTTAGCACTCTGGGATGTAGGTTGTCAGTCCCTGGGGATTTATCACCCTTTAATCCCATCAATTTGCCCAGCAGTATTTCTTTACCTTTTCTATCTCACCAATCTCTTTGTTCACTATCATTTCTAGCACATTTTTTATATCCTCCTGTGTGAAGACATAATTGAAGTGTGAATTTAGTTTATCAGCCATTTCTTTGTTCCCCATTATAAAGTCCCCTGTTTCTGACTGCAAGAGAGTTACATTAGTTTTCACCAAACTTCTTCTCTTTACATACTTGCAGAAGCTTTCACAGTCAGTTTTTTCTGTTCCCTGCAAGCTTATACTCATTCTCTAGTTTACCTTTCTCAATGCATCCTTTAGTCCTCTCTTGCTGAAATCTTAACTGTTCCCAATCCTCAGGGCTATTGTTTCTTTTTCTTGCCAATTTTTATGCCTTTATTTTTTCAGTTAATACCATCTTCCTTTCGGAAGCCATGGTTTGGCCACTCTTCTCTTTGCACTCTTGAGTCAGGTTGTAATAAATAATTTCTGTAGTTCACCCATTTGTCATTGAATGTTTGGCACTGCCTACCCACTGTCAATCCTTTCGGTAACATTTCCCAATCCATCATTAGCACATAAGAACTAGGAGCAGGAGGAGGCCATCTGGCCCCTCGAGCCTGCCCCGCCATTTATTAAGATCATGGCTGATCTTTTTGAGACTCAGCTCCACTTACACACCCGCACACCATAACCTTTAATTCCTTCACTGTTCAAAAATTTACCTAGCCTTGCCTTAAAAACATTCAGCGAGGTAGCTTCAACTGCTTCACTGGGCGGGGAATTCCACAGATTCACAACCCTTTGGGTGAAGAAGTTCCTCCTGACCTCAGTCCAACATCTGCTTCCCTTTATTTTGAGACTATGCCCCCTAGTCCTAGTTTCACCTGCTAGTGGAAACAACCTCCCTGCCCCCACTTTATCTATTCCCTTCATAATCTTATATGTTTCTATGAGATCTCCCCTCATTCTTCTGAATTCTAATGAGTATAACCCAGCCTACTTAGTCTCTTCTCATAATCCAACCCTCTCAACTCTGGAATCAACCGAGTGAATCTCCTCTGCACCCCCCCCCCAGTGCTACTATATCCCTTCTCAAGTAAGGAGACCAAAACTGCACACAGTACTCCAGGTGTGGCCTCACCACGACCCTATACAGCTGCAGCATAGCCTCCCTGTTTTTAAACTCTAGCCCCCTAGCAATGACAGACAAAATTCCGTTTGCCTTTCTAATTACCTGCTGCACCTGCAATCTTACTTTTAGTGACTCATGCACAAGGACACCCAAGTCCCTCTGCACAGCAGCGTGCTGCAACTTTTTACCATTTACCATTTTGCTGTTATTCCTACCAAAATGGATGACCTCACACTTATCAACATTATACTCCATCTGCCAGACCTTTGCCCACTCACTTAGACTATCAACTCAACTATCATAGTCAACTCACACCTCATACCATTCTAGTTTTCCTTAATAAGATGCAGGAACCTAGTCCCAGAATCTCACTCAACATCCTACTGAAGAATTCATCATGTTATGATTGCTCATCCCAAAGGGTCTCTCAGAACTGCACTGCTAATCATTCCTACAAAAAGCAATCAAAATGCAGCAAACATTCGCTGATCCATAAAGCCATTCAGTCTATATCCAGGTTTCTAAACTGTTTTAGAAGGAATGGCGTCAAAAGTACTTGCGAGTTAATGATTAACATCACATGCAGAGATGAAAATGCATCAGTTAATTGCTGCTGAAATAACTCCGCAGAGGCCAGTATCCAGTCACCAAGTCACCTTTTAATTACACTTGTATAGTACATGACACTGACCCAACTAGCTCAGGGCTCGCTTCGAGAGTGAGCAGAAACACTGACACACCCGTTTATGCCTTTCACCCAGAACTCTATTTGGACCAAGTAAACAGCTCCAATCGGGGAACTTATATCCTATAAGGTCCACGCTACTGACCTTGTTACACTCCCTACAGCTGCGAAGCAGTTATCCAAGCAACAGACATTGAAAATGATTAATCAAAATCCCATGGTTTATGTCACAAAACGTTTAATCGCTCTAACAATTTCAGAAAGTCCGGTGACATTACAAGTGGATCCCAGACTACAGAGAGATGGTGATTCCGTCACATTGAATTGTTGGTGTACCCAGGATCATGTGTGTGGAAGAGGACAAGTTTCCTTCTACAGAAATGAGACCCTCCTGAAACCTGATTCCATGCCTCACAATGTCTATCGCATCCACCAAGCAACCCTAATGGATTCGGGATGGTACCGCTGTGCGATTTTCCAGAACCTTTCGACGTTCCTGTCCCTCTGGGTAGAAGTCACTGTCCAGAGTGAGTCAACCAAGGGACCAGGTTGAGGTGAGGGGCGGGCGGTGGGGGGTGCATTGGGGATGTGGGGAGAGACTGACACAGGATGGAAACCAAGTTTCACTTGCGCTGATCTGGCCAAATGAAAATGGCGCCTTTCGGTTGACGTCTTGAAACTGATCAGGACATTTTGCAAGAGTGCCTACTCAAAGGGAAGCAAATCGAAATTGGCAACGGAAGAGAGGAGATGAATTGGCACTCTGGTCACCATCGAGAATACATCAGTCAATGACAATTAGTCAGAAATGCGTCTGTCAGTTTAACAGACATCACATGTCATCTCGTATTGCTGTTGGAATAGCCCCAGTTTTTCTGTCCAAATTTAGCTGCTGGGACTGAGGAGGGTTAACTTCATGAGGAGGGTTCTGTAATTGGTAGATCACCAACATTCATCTCTGCTCTGATCCCGAGACCAGTTTCTTACCACAGCTCATTTGGTTGTGAGTGGCCTCTTACTGTGTTATTTGGCCTGACTCTGTGCAAGTTTTTGCATCTGCACGGTTCATGTAACCTGGTTATCCTCAGAATGTGAAGATCATAAAAAGTAGGAGTGGGAATAGGCCATTCAGCCCATCGAGTCCGCTCCACTCTTCAATGGGAGTATAGCTGATCTGATCATCCTCAACTGCACTTTCCTGCCTTCCCCCCCACCTCTCCCCCATCACCCTCAATTCCCCTTCCTGATTAAAAATCACCATCTCGGCTTGAATATATTGAATGGCCCAGCCTTGACAGCCCTCTGTGGTAAAAAAAAAATTTCACAGATTAGCTCCCCTCAGAGAAAATAAATTCATCCATATCCCCAACTTCAATAGGAGGCCTCCCTTATTCTGAGATAATGCCCCTCTGGTCGTACACTCTCCCACACAAGGGGAAACAACTTCACTCTGCAACTCCCCTGTCAGGTTCCTCTAATAATCTTCAATAAAGTCACCTCTAATTCTTCTAAACACCAATGAGGACAGGCCGTATCTACTCAACCTTTCCCTCATCAGACAGTCTCTCCGTATCTGGGATCAGCCGAGTGAACCTTCTCTGGGCTGCCTCCACTGCCCAGGCTATCTTTCTTCAGATATGGGAACCCAGAACTGTTCACAGTAATCCAAATTAGATAAATACTAGATAAAAGTGAAGTGTTGTATTTTGGTAAGGCAAATCAGGGCAGGGCTTATATATTTAATGCTAGCATCTTGGGGAATATTGTTGAATAAAGGGACATAGAGGGTGCAGGTTCATAGTTCCTTGAAAGTTGAGTCGCAGGTAGACAGGATTTTGAAGAAGGTGTTCAGTACACTTGCCTTCATTGGTCAGTGCAATGTGTATCTGGGTTGAGATTTCATGTTGCGCTTTTCAAGACATTGATAAAGCCATTTTTGGAATACAGCATTCAGTTCTGGTCTCCTTGCTAGGAACGATGTCCTTCAGCGAGAAAGGGTTTTGAAAAGATTTACAAGAATGTAGCTGGGGTTGTAGAGTTTGAGGAAGAGGGAGAGGCTGAATAGGCTGGGGCAATTTTCCCTGGAGCGTCGAAGGCTGAGGTTTATAAAATATAGAGGTTTAGAAAATCATGAGGGGCATGGATCGGGTGAATAGCCAAGGTCTTCGCCAGTAAAGGGGTGTCCATAACTGGATGGCATTGGTTTAAGGTGAGAGGGGACAAGTTTAAAAGGGAGCTAAGGGACAACACTTTTCACACACACAGTGGTGCATGCACGGAATGAGCTGCCAGAGGAAGTCACAGATACGGGTACAATGACAACATTTAAGAGGCATCTGAATGGGGACATGAATAGGAAAGGCTCAGAGGGATATGATTCCAAATGCTGGCAAATAGGACAAGATTAATTTAGGGTATCTAGTCAACATGCATGAGTTGGACTGAGGGGTCTGTTTCCATCCTATACATCTGTACAATTCTACCCTTCAGCTCCATTCGCTAATCCTCAGATACTGAAGCAATCTGTGTGCATGTGTAGCAAGATCTGGATAATATCCAGGCTTATGCTGACAAGTGGCAAGTAAAATCTGCACCACACAAATAAGAAAGAGTCTAACCATAGTCTCTTGGTGTTCAATTGTGTTACCATCACTGAACCTCTCACTATCAGCATCCTGGGGGTTACCATTGAGAGAGAATTTAACCATCGCCCCCCTGATGCTCAGTGGTATTACTATCACTGAAACCCCCCGCTATCAACATCCTGGGGTTAAAATTGAGAGAGAATCTAACTATTACCTCTTAATATTTAATGGTATTACCATCACTGAATTCCCCCACTACCAACATCCTGGGGATTAAAAACTGAACTGGATTCATCATTTCAATACTGTGGCTGCAAGAGCAGACCAGAGGCTAGGAATACTGCAGCGAGTAACTCACCTCCTGACTCCCGCCAAAGCCTGTCCACCATCGACAAGGCATAAGTCAGGAGTGTGATGCAATATTCCCCACTTGCCTGGATGAGTGCAACTCCAACAACACTCGAGAGGCTCGACACTATCCAGGACAAAGCAGCTGCCACTTGATTGGCACCACATCCACTCCCTCCACCATCGATGGTCAGTAGCAGCAGAGTGTACCATCTGTGAGACTACTGTAAAATTCACCAAAGATCCTAAGATAGCACCTTCCAAACCCATGATCACTTCCATCTGGAAGGAAAGGGAGGCAGATATATGGGAAGACCACCCTCTGCACATTCCCCTCCAAGACACTCACCATCCTGACTTAGAAATATATCGACCATTCCTTCAGTGTCACTGTGTCAAAATCCTGGAATTCCCTTCCTCATGGCATTTGTACCCAATCTATAGCACATGGACTGCAGCGGTTCAAGAAGACAGCTCACTATTACTTTCTCAAGGGGGAAAATAGGGACAAAGTTGATTAATATAGGGCCCAGCCAGTCATGTCCATGTCTCAGAAGTGGAAAATAAAGTAAAGGCAGTAAGAGACAGAGTTCAAGTGAGGTTGACTTGAAATCAGTTAAGTATGTTAATTGTTAGTTGGAGTTTTCAGTCCTAATAAGGTTGATCAACAGTTGTTATACTTATTATTGTAAGGTCAAAGAAAACAAAATTATTATAAGTAAATGAATGTCACATATCATCAACCTAATTGAAGTAAATTAATGTATGGCAGCACAGCTCAGTCATGTGGAATACATGTTTTAATATGTGGGAAAACATGGATATTACAGATGACCAGCACATGATTCCTTCCAT